AAGCTTCCACAATGAAGCAGTGGTTCTTTTTACTGTTCTATACATTATTATTTTCCTTCAACAAAATAAATTACCAAAGATCAGAAAATGAAAGATTTGCAGATGTTTACAGAGCACGTGCCTGAGAATTGACATCTTCTCTTAAGATACTTCTGGAAGACAAACATCCTTAGAAAGACTTAGGCAAGTATTTTTATAAGAACTTGGAACACAGATTTGTTTTGAGTTTTAGAATCTGAGAAAGACTTGTTAAAATTGAAGAAAAAAAAAAAAAAACTTGCAATACCAAACATTATCTAGTCTCAGATTTGACCTATAAAATACCTTTATAAAGCATCCACACAATGATGAGCCCATTTTGATCACTGGTTGTTAGTTTTTGATACTGCTCATTCCATGTCACCACTTGCACAGAACCTAGAAAATTATACAAATGTTGCATTTATTCTACTTAACAAACAAGTTAAACCAGCATATGCAATTTATTTACCCTCTTTTTTGGGGTCTGCACAAATTTGTCCTAATAACTTTGATTCAGTTTTAGCCACTCTTCTTTCGGTATCACTTGTTTCTTCTTTCATACTTCTACTATTGTTCTCCCTTTACTCATATATTTACCCTTTGAGCAGCATATTCTCTAGGTTTTACCCAGAATATTGCTTCAATACAAGACAACCCTCAGGAAGCTGACAAAGTTTTCCTCTCACAAGAAGACTTTAAAAAAAAAAAAAAAAAAAAAAAAAAAAAAAAAAAAAAAAAGATTTCCAAAATTGGATTTTTAAAAAAAAATGCAATCACCCATTTCATCCAGCACAAACTGCTCAGCACACAATCCAGCTCCCACCTTCTGCCACAAGACATTGTTTATCCAACATCTACCAAGGCAGTACGTGAGCATATACAAGTAGGTGAGCAAATGTAACATGAATATATAAATACATTAAGATATAATCAGGCCAACTGATGAAAATTTTCAGATTAACCAAGCTGAGTCAGAGAGAACAAGCACTGTAGTGGTATAAATGCAAGATTGAAAAATACACAATATGATAGCATCATCTACTTCAATACAAATCAGTACGTAACAACAAAATGATTTGGAAACAGCCAAACAAGGAGTCATGTAAAACAGAAAGGACGCTGTAAGGTCAAAGTTAAAAGGTTTATCTAGAAAAACTCACAGCAAACTGCAAGGCAACAGGTAGAGGTGGTCTGGCTGTGCAGCATGTGTTCTGCACCATGCACTCCATAGCAGCTGGCAGGACTGGGGTAACACATCTGATTTTATCAATGATACATTTTATTTTAGCATTACAAGAAAAAGTTATAACAAAATCACTCAATGAAGGCCACAACAATCTTTCTGTATGTTTATGCCCAAAGAGACTTACCACTATGACCTTCAAGAGTCTGGTTCACAGAAAGGTTGCTGGGAGCTGCGAGTCCCTTTAGTTTTGCTTCATCTAGAAATAGTAAAAATAGTTATATAATGAGTTTATTAAGAAATACGCATTAGTGGGTCTGCAGCAATTGCGCAGCTGAAATATTAACCTAGAAGCATGTAAAACTGTAATTGCAGCAGGACCAGTCAGACAGACATGTTTACTAATCAATTCTGCCATTCAAATCAGGTACTCTTTACGGTCCAGCAGCTTTCCAGAAAAAAAAGAAAAAAAAAAATCACATTTTGTTTATTCTTATAAAAGGATAAAAAGAACTTGAAAATACATTTGATTTCACTTCCCTAAGAATATATTTGTCTTACCTCTTAAAATATACAGCTTTCTAAATTAAACAGACAGTATTTACCTAATTCAAACACAATTACGCTGTCATGAGGTTCCAAAATAAGTTATGAGAACAAAAATGAAGCATAGTATCATGACAGAAGCAGCAATGATGACTTTGGTAAATACAAAAGTTGGACAAATGACAAGGATGTCACATAGGGAGAGTTAAAGGAAAACAATGTTCACAAGAAAGTCATCACACATTTGATGTTTATGCAAATGGAAAATCATCTATGTAAAAACACAGAATATACACAGTGCTGTAAAGTCATTTCTGAAAAGAGCTGCACTTTCAGAGTTTTGAAACTTGATGAGTTTTGCTTTAAAAACCTCATTTACCTGTTTGATTCTCTAACTTTAAAACTTTCAGCAAGCCATCCTCCCCACCACAGGCTATGAAACCTTGATCCTTATTCCAGGAAATACACCTCAACCGAACATTACCAGGAATTGCGATCTGCAAGAGAGAAACATTTTACATCCCGAAGCCGCCGCAAGAACCGCGCTGGTTCCCACTAGGGGACACTCGAAGGCCGCGGAGATTCTAGGCCCCGGCGCGAGCAGCGGCG